AGCTCTCTCTCTCGCACACACACACAGCTCTCTCTCTCTCGCACACACACACACACACAGAAGGAGAACAATTTGTAACACTTTTCAATAAGGTTTTAGTTTTTAACATTATATAAGTTAACATGAACAATATTTATATAGTATTTATGAATCTTAGTTAATATTATGTTCAAAATTGACTACTACATTTACTACATTAATTAAAATTTACAGTTAATGTACATCAGTTACTGTACCATGAACGAACATAAACAATTTTTAATAGCACAAATAAATACACTAAAAATTAGGGATGCACCGGTTGACCGGCCATAAATCGGAACCGGCCGGTTTTTGCTTATAATGCGCGATCGGCAACCGGCCGGTTTTTTGTATTTTTTTCGTCCGATTTTTCCGGAAGTGTGCACAGAGGCGCCAGCAGAAAAAATACCACGCAGAGCAAGCTCACTGTTGGCGATGCACGATGAGATATTGGAAGAAAAATCTGAAGTGATTAAGGATACGGGCAGCCGTACAGCACTGGAAATGCAGAGCTACCTGTCTGAGGCACAGATACCAAGAAGCGAACAGCCGTTGGTGTACTGGCGCACAAATAAGAGCCGCTTTCCTGCACTCGCTGAAGTTGCGCGAGTGTACCTGTCCGCGCCCTGCACAAGCGTAGACAGTGAACGTTTGTTCAGCTCAGCTTCTCACGTGTTGGATGAGAAACGAAACAGACTAACTTGTGACAAAGCTGAAATGCTTCTTTTTGTAAAGAAGAACTCGCATGCACTTTTGAAAAGCCAGAAGTAAACGTCAGTTCTTTAGGCTATAGGATTAATATTTTTTATTTTACCTTAAAATTACATTATTTGTATTCACATTATAATACACATTAAGACTTAATGTGATTTAAAAAGCACCTGCCATAGTTAACATTTTGGAATAATTTATTTATATAGCCTACTTTGGTTTTATTTAGTTTCACTGGTAAAGATCTTTTTTTCTTTACACCAAATTTAAAAACGAAAACAAATGCTGAATGCTGATTAAGTAACATCTTTGTTTGGAGTGTTGAATGTGTTTTGATTGTGTTGTTTGGATTGTGGAACTATGCAGTTGTTGCCTTTAAAATTACATGGTTACAGTTAATGTTTTCATTTAAGGCCAGTTTATAGTTTCAACCCAATTTAAAAACGAAAGCTAAATGCTTTTGTCAGTAGGCCAACCTATGTTTGTATTGAATGTAGCCTACTTACTGCGCAGATACTGCTGTTAATTTCAGATGGTTACAGTTGTTGTTTTCAATAGCCAAAACCCAGTTTAGCCTGTTAAATACCAAATAAACATCTTGTTTATGTGTACTTTTATTCTTTCTTGTTTGTTGCTTGATAAAAATAAAAAAAATCGGAAATCGGTATCGGAATCGGCCAGTTTGCTTGTAAAAAATCGGTATCGGAATTGGCCATGAAAAATCATGATCGTGCATCACTAGTAAAATATGCGTTATTAAAATCAGTTCATCGTCACAGACTCCATTTTCAAATAGACTCACTTGAATTCTTAAACAACTTTCATGGCAAACAAGCACAACCCAATGTCAAACGCATTCAGATTCAGTCTGACTAACAGCCTCTGTAGCACTAAATTGCTTTAGCCAGCACAACCAACACAAGTTTATTTGTTTCCACTAAGGGGGGAAATCCTGGCAAACCAAACAAGCTGCGAGTCTTTTCCATTGCACCTACTAAAAAGGTGAGCCTGTCTTCCTCTTCTGGAACATTCGACCCCGTCGCGGGTGAGAGGAAAGAGGAAACAAACAGAGAATGAGATGGAGAAGATACGTTATGGGCCGTGTGAAGAGCCTTCTCTCCTCCTATATGCGGCTGTAAATGTTTGGACTATGTATAGGTCTTCGCGGGCTAGTTTAAAATAGGTGCCCAGCTTACATTACAGTCCCCAAATATTAGCCATTTTCCCTAAATACAAACCCCCACAAAGGATACCTTACAAGGGAAGAGCTGGGATGGTATGTGGTGCTTAGTTGGGGAGGTGAGAGGGTGTTTGTGTGAGTAAAGAAAGAAAGACACAGGATGCTGTTCTAATTCAATTTACAAATGTTCAATGGTGAGCATGTGGGAAAAATGTACAATGTTTAAAGATGTTCTTATATAATGTTACATTTTATTCTTTGTCAAGGAGACAATCATGATTAAGGGTTTGTTGTAAAGAAGTAAATTTACTAAACCTGTTTCACTTTGTTGATCTGATACCGTAAATGAACTAAAGTGAACTGACTGAATCCCTCATTATAAAGTATTATTAATATACTGTATACATATTATAATTTATAATATTTTCTTTAAAGAAAATAAATAAATAATAAAATGTATTAATTAATAAAAAACCTATATATAAATAAAGAATTTAGCGCCAATTTCACTTTGACCTGATACACTACATGGACCAAAATCACAATGAACTGAATGAATCTGTCATTATTATAAATACACTGTATGCATATTATAATTTATAATATTTCATTTGAATAAATAAATAAATCATTAAAAAAAATATATATATATACCCTCTGTTCCATTTTTGAGTACCACTGCAAACCATGCAGCTCTTACTTTAAATTGAAGAACTTTATTACATGAATCCATTGGTGATTACAATCCACTAGATCCATTAATGATTTTCTCACAGGCTTTGAGAAAGAAATAACTAGAAAATAATTACTAAAGGATGAGATCATTATACTATTATATACATTAGTTTTTTAAATTGTTAAAATAATTTAATTTTTTTTTATTGTTTACATCGGTGTTGTTTTAGTATTATTTATAATCTACTTTAGTATTATTTGTCATGTGCTAATGCTTTAGTAATTTTTTAAAAGTTTTATTTAAATATTTGTATTTAGTTTTAATTAGTAGTTTTAATTAAAATCCTAATGAACTTATCAAATCTGTCTACAAAATATAATAAATACATATATATTAAAAGTTATCATATTTCTCACATATATGTATATTTCTCACACACACACAAGATACCAATTTGTTCATTTTTAGCATGTTAGGAGGTAGTTTTTTGGGCAAAGAAAAAGTTTGGGCAAAGTTTTTTGCCCAAATGCCCAACTGAAACAGAATTGAATCAAATCAAATCAAAATTTCAATTAAATAAAATTGAATCTAACTGAATTGTGGAAATCTGTATTGATACGCAGCCTAAAGTCCAAGAGAACAACAGTATTTTGTCCAATGACCAGAAAGATACAATTTTTGAAGCCTACATCCTGATGTTGCTGGAGAAGAGTGAAACCAGTCCTTCGTGCTGTTAAGTACTCGAAGTAGTCAAAAATAAAGAGGATCTGGTGGAGCAGTGCTTTAAATGTGCCCTTATTTATATCCTCAGCTGTCTCCTTCATCCGAAAAAAAGACCCTTGCATTCTTAGCTGGAAATATCATGCTCTGACCACAGATATGTTCATTCTGAATATCTTTGTTATGCCCACAGCATGGCAGTGCCATATGTACACATTTTTTCCTCTCGTTTCATGGGCTATAGTACTTCTGAATGCTCCTACATGTGAGAAATAAACAGAAATAAACTTGAAGTCATTAGTACAACATCTGAACTTGAGAGGATCTCAATAAGGTCAATGTTGAACGAGTTGACATCTTACTAGACTGGATCTGCGGCTGTTTTAATCTCACTTGCCAAAGATGAAATAGACAAAAGAGCAGCTAGCTTATATGAAACACCTGTGGTTATAGACAGACTAAATGGGAGACAGACGGCATCCTATGTTAAGCCGAAAATGAAGAATAGTCCACTCACTTGTGTTGGTCCCACTGCCTGTACCTGCAGCGTTGATAGTGGAGGGCACGGAGGATGATGGGTACAGTGAGAGGTGCCCGTTTTCGCAGCCCTGTTGCTGCTGCTGCCAACTTCCCAGCCCAGAGTCCCTCGAGCTCTGCCACCCGTTGAGACGGTCATCCGACCCATAGCGCTGGTGGTGGGGATAGAGGTGTGGAGGTGCACGCTCAAGGGAATCCCCGGCTCCTCGGGCAGCCGCCCGCTCCTCCAGGTGGTTGAGCCAGAGGGCGAGGTTCCCCCGGTCCTCGAGGGAGGTTGCGGGGTGGATGAGGGCGTAGGACAGAAGCTGCCTGCTTTCCTCTAAGTGCCGGCCATGTTCGATGGTGTGGCCCAAGATCTTCGGCAGGAGACTCATGTACTCCACTTTGGCCTCGACGTTGCCCGGTTTAAGGAGAGGCAGGTGGGTCAGAACCAGAGAGATGACCCGTTCTTTAGACTCACTCTGCCACTGACTGATCACCACTGCAAAATAAGAAAAGAAAGAAGGTTAGCATAAGTTTACAGAAAAGATCATCTTAAAAATAAAATAGAATAAAATAACTTCAAAGTTTCCAGAAAGAACACCTTCAAAAAAAAATTAAAATAAATAAGAGTTAATCATGGGAGAGATGTGGTTTATCGCATTGTGCATGGGAGGTACACAGTGATATATGTCTGGATGAAATAACATGAGCAAAGTCATCCCTGTTTTTCCTCTTTCTTTTAAATAACTGCCGCATTTTAAGTATTTGGTGGGGACACTATTCATTAACAGGGTCACGCAACCTATTGTAACATGCCTCAGAAATTAACTAGGAACTATAGGGTCATTCCGTGTCAAATCAACCAAATTTCAGAAACTTCCCCAACTCAAATTTTTGATTTTGCTAGTATTTTTTCTGAAGAAAGATAAACATGTATAGTGATGAAAGCCAAAATATTAAATGTCATGGATGAATATTTACTGAGTAATCCACTACTTTGTAGAGATGGGTCAAAATGGCAATTTTCACCTGAGATTCAGAGCCAAATTACAAAGGGGTAAAAATGACTTCAGAAAGATGGTAGCATCATGATGTTAATTTTACACAGAGATTGGTTTGTCTGTTAGTAAAATCTGTTGACTGTAGCAATCTTTGTTGCATTATGTGCTAATGGTAACCATTCAAAAATGGGAAAAAAGCACTTTTCAAGTTTTTCTCCAAAGTTTGCATGCCTGTAATTCAAGAAATATTAAAGATATCTTAATGTCCTTTTAGATATTGGGTCTTAACAAACTTGCCTTTTGGCATCTCCATTTTTAAGGCCCTATATGGTTCAGTAGAGATATTGGAATTTCAATATGGCTCCAGGAGTAAATCGTTAAAATTGTACACATTTTCAGTGGTCAAAAACCAAATGTGGGTCACTTTGCATAAATATGATACTTCTTTTCTTTCAAAGAGGAATGTCTGAAGAATAAATAATGTTGAAACTAGAAATGTATCTTGTTTCCTTCTGTCAAAACAACTGCATTGAACATACCTGTGTGAGTGCCATAAATATTATTTTTCCAAAGTTTGCATGCCTATAACTCAAGAAATATTAAATATTATCACAATGTGATTTTAGGTTCTAGTTCTTAATAAACTTTTCTTTTGGAATCTTCATTTTAAAGGCCCTATATCATACAGTCCCAGAGATATGGGGACCTCAATGATGCTCCATATTCAGAGTGTTGAATATTACTCATTTTCAGTGGTCGAAAACCAAATGTTGGTCAACTGTAATTTGGCTCTGAATCTCATGTGAAAATTGCGATTTTGACCCCCCTCTACAAAATAGTGGATTACTCAGTAAATATTCATTCATGGCATTTAATATTTTGGCTTTCATCACTATACACGTTTATCTTTCTTCAGAAAAAAATATTAGCAAAATCAAAAATTTGAGCCGGGGACCTCTGGTTGAGTTGACACGGAATGACCCTATAGATACTTTGAGGTCACGGCAGAGGCTTTGTCTACCACTAATAATAGAGAACGCAGGCCACAGAATGAACTTCTGACCACCTCCTGATCACGTCTATGACTCATTTATTCTGTCTGTCTTTACTTTGGACATGGAACCACTTCTTATAGGTCTAATGATACATGATCATAATCTCATGAAAGCTATCAACAACATGTCCAGGTCACATTTCACCCCAAAATTAAAAGAAAGTTATTGTTTTCTTAAAGAAAATGCTCATTTTTAGGAACAATTGGCAAGGCAAGGCAAGTTTATTTGTATAGCGCATTTCATACACAATGGTAATTCAAAGTGCTTTACATAAAAGAAAAGAAAATAATAATCACAACAATAAAACAAGGAATTTAAAACTTTGAAAATTATTTAAAAAATTGATTTAAGAGGTTTAAAATGAATTTAAGAAAACGATTATACATAGAATATAGTGCAATCAGTTCGGACATCGCACAGTGCTCATTCAATGAATGCACAGCTAAACAGATGAGTTTTGAGTCTGCATTTAAATGTGACTAATGTTTTAGCACATCTGATCTCTTCTGGAAGCTGATTCCAACTGCGGGCGGCATAATAACTAAAAGCAGACTCCCCTTGTTTTGTGTGAACCCTTGGTATTTCTAACTGACTCGATCCTAATGATCTGAGTGGTCTGTTAGGTTTATATTCAGTGAGCATATCTGCTATGTATTTAGGTCCTAGGCCATTGAGTGATTTATAAACGAGTAAAAGTACTTTAAAATCAATCCTAAATATAACTGGAAGCCAGTGTAAGGACCTGAGGACTGGTGTAATATGCTCAGATTTTCTGGTTCTAGTCAGAATTCTGGCAGCAGCGTTCTGGATGAGCTGCAGCTGTCTAATGGTCTTCTTGGGAAGGCCGGTGAGGAGACCATTCCAATAGTCCACCCTGCTGGTGATAAAGGCATGAACAAGTTTCTGCAAGTCTTGACTGGAAACAAAACATCTCATTCTTGCAATGTTTTTGAGATGATAGTATGCTGATTTAGTTACTGCTTTGACATGACTACTGAAACTAAGGTCTGTCTCCAGAATCACACCAAGATTCCTGACTTGATTTTTTGTTGTTAGACCCCTAGAGTCAAGGTATGCATTCACCTTGAGAACTTCATCTTTGTTTCCAAATGCAATGACTTCAGTTTTTTCCTTGTTTAACTGAAGAAAGTTCTCGCACATCCAACTGTTAATTTCATCAATGCATTGGCAGAGGGAGTCAATGGGGCTGTAGTCATTTGGAGATAAGGCTAGGTAAATCTGGGTATCAATTGTTTTTTTTTTTTTTCATTTTAACATATAATGAAAAACAATGTATTTCTTAGTAACATATGTAAAAATAATTATATATTATTCAAATGATAAAATGTATACAACATTGTAGTATGTTCTGTACTGCCTTTAATGTTGACAATATTAAATTAAATAACTATATTAAATGTATGTTAAAATAGTAAGCAGAAAAAGTAAAAGTAAAGATGATGATCTGCACTCAAATACTCTATTACTTGCTTTTATTTAATAAATTCATGGGGATACAAAAAACCCATCAAAAATAATATCTGGATGCATTATGGTAATGAGAATTTGCACTAAATTGTCAAAAAAAAAGAAGGTTCTAAGAATGTAAAAAGTGGCATTTCTTTTGATTTTAGCATTACATGTGACCATGAAATGTTTTCACCAGTATGCAAATGCAGAAAATAATAATTACCATTAGATCAAGAGACATGTTTAGCACTTTAAAATGACAATGTTTGTAGCGTAATGAAACAGAATCATAAATGTTTCATCAGTGTGTGTATGAGTAGAGATGTTTCAGCGATCTTCTGTCATGTTTAGCATGGAGCTATGCTTGTTTAGACCTCATACCAATGTCATGCTAAAGACAGACGCACAGACTTGAGGACGACTGTGGACTGATGATTAAGTGTCTCTCTGGCAATCTTTTTCAGGCCCTTCCATTTTTACTGATGGGCCACCGGGATTCTAGAGGGCAAGTTGACAAACCCAGTTCACACCCCCTGGTATTCAAACCCACAACTTTTCAGTTACTAACCCAGACTTTAAATCAACATCCATTTATTACAAAACTCAATAAAAAAGTGTACATTTGATCAAGTTTATATCCTCAGTTCTAAATGAGACCATGTGTGTGCAACCACATTCACAAACCACTTTAAAACATGTCGTATTAAAGGAATAGTTCACTCAAAAATGAAAATTTGCTTACTCTCAGGCCATCCAAGATGTATATGAGTTTGTTGCTTTATCAGAACAGATTTGGAGAAATTTAGCATTACATCACCAATGGATCTTCTGCAGTGAATGGGTGCCGTCAGAATGAGAGTCCAAACAGCTGATAAAAACATCACAATAATCCACAAGTAATCCACATGACTCCAGTCCATCAATTAATGTCTTGTGAAATGAAAGTGTTTGTAATAAACAAATTCATAAATATATTTTTTAACTTCAAACTGTTGCTTCAGCCTAAAATATGAGTCCTCTATCCATGATATTGCTTTCCACCATGAAAAAGTCACCTCGTCTGAATCAGGAGAGAAATATATACAGATCAAGCACTGTTTAAAAGTGAAAAGAGTCCAAAACTGTTCTAAAGATGTGGGTGGATTTTGATATTAGAGGACAACAGGGGATGGACTTTTTCACTGGAGGAAGCGTTATTATGGATTATGGACTGGTATTTTGGCCAGAAGTGATTGTTTACATTTAAAATGCCTTAACGATGGATTTGTTTCTTGCAGCTTTTTGCCTCACAAGACATTAATTGATGGACTGGATTCGTGTGGATTGCTTGTGGATTATTGTGATGTTTTTATCAGCTGTTTGGACTCTCATTCTGAAGGCACCCATTCACTGCAGAGCATCCATTGGTGAGCAAGTGATGTAATGCAAAATTTCTCCAAATCTATTCCGATGTAGAAACAAACTCATCTACATCTTGGATAAACTGAGGGTGAGTGAATTTTTTTGGATGAACTACTCCTTTAAGGGGGTAACTGTTACAAGATGTGACGAAGTATGTAGGAGAAAGTTTCTGAAATCAAAATTAGATTAAAGTGCTTAGTCAGAAACACAGGAGAATTTTCATAAGTTACATCCAATGAGTGATGAGAGAAGGTTGTACGTCCACCACTATGTGTCACCACCACTCAGTTCAGTTCAGTTTGTGCTTTGCCAAAGGTTGTGATGAGTTTATCTAGTAATAAAGTCCTCATGACCCTCAGCAACACTCCTCTACTAAAATTAGAGTCCAGCATTCAACTTGGCCAGCGTCCTGCTCTACCTCAGTGGTTGCCAGCTCCTCTATGGCTCCCACACTCCTCCATCATTACGCAGTTCTACTTCCTTCGCTCCACCCATCCAGCTGGATACAGAGGGAGTGCTGCTGCTAAAACAATGCAGCGTACTCATCTCAAGGATTCTGACTTCCTCTGCGA